ACACACTAGCGTGCCTCAATGGATGCTGAACAAAGACGCAGTGAGTCCTCAGCCCGCCTTTAGGACTCTCCCAGCAGTAAACTAAGCTAAGTTTCGACGCTATAACAAACCCGTGGATAAACATTGTTTCAAAATGGCTGAAAAGAGCCATCGATGCGAACACCCTACCGCAAACCTCCCCTTCGCTCCTAATCGGCTTCCTCTCTCAGATTATTGCCGTGAATGGGCAGACAACAAGAGAAAAGACTTATCACTCCCACTCTTTCATAGCATTTGTTGTGTGTATTTTCCCCTGTATATTAAATTTGTCTGCTTTTTAAAGGCAGTGGCGACGTTTGCTGTTTGTCTGTACCGTACTCGCAGCTGCAACGCGACAATAAAGCAGGCTAAGCAGCAGCACTCTGTAAACTCAGTATTGTGGAGCTTGTTGAATTACCCATGAGTTTTGATACTTTGCTTTTGTGCCTAATTCCACTAATCCCTGCGGAGGAACAGTGAATGGTCTAAATTCCCTATGATATCTTGTCTAGGCTAAACATTTGCTCACTTACGTATACACTGGGTACAGAAAATTATTCTTTTGACAACATTACAACAGATTTAACCCAGTGCCCCGCTTATCCTGCGATGACATGCATTAGCTTCATTGCATTGGGAGGTACATTTCCATTTCAAATTACAGCTCAGCAGTTAGCATCCAGACACACACACACACACCGTTTTGTTTTGTGTTGTTTTTTTTCTGTAGCTTGGTCTTGAGCTGCAGTGTTAAAGAGTTTTACATACAGAAAGTCCATTAAAAATTCCACAAATATTAACTACCATGTTAATTATTACTTCTCCAGGGACTTTAACCGCGTGTCAGTCCTTTTCTTCTCCAAGCCCCTTGAGGTCAAGCTCTGTAAAGCCTATTTGGCAATCAAACACTGACCCTCCCTAACTCTCATTTCTCCCCCACACACCTCTCTTGCCCTCTTTTTCTTCCCATGGCCTTTTTCTCTGCCTCATCATCCCCCCTTTCTTTCTCCTCCCCTGCTCATGTCCCTTTCTGTCCGGCTGGCCCTCTCAGCGGGGCTATAGAGTCCTAACTTGTCTACATTTACCCCCTGCGTTGGATGACCAATGGGGCCGTTGAGCAGAGAGTCCCTCCTTCTGCGCTTCGCCATTCTCCGCAAGTCAGCTCATGCTCTCTGTTTTCACGACCTCTGACCCTAGGCCATGGCAACTGTGGCAGGAATGTCAGGAGTGATTGGCAGGATAAAGAGTGCAGGCCCTCTCTCCTGCACAAGCGGATTTGAGACACTTTGAGGGGTGAACAATGGCGGATTTGGGCTCGATTGGATCACTGATGAGCTGATGACTGTCAAAAGAGCACGTCGTCTTTACATAAGCCCGATTATCTCTGCGTGGCGGAGGAGCAGAGGGGTAACCGCTGTAGGAGGAAGGGGCAACCGGTGGGGATTTCACCCCCATGCCGAGTCCCTCGAAAAGGGGATAGACCTGCACACGAGGGCCAGGCTTCGAGGCTTGGACCTCTCTCATCCACTGGGGGCCTTTAACAAATCTATTCAGGCGACCGGGAGCCCTCATACATGTGGGCATAATCGCAGGAGGATGGCAAAAGAGTGATGAGGGGGGACTGCAAGGGGGGATGACACATGGAGGCGATCATTGTTCAATCCCTGAACATCCCATCAAGACGACAGAGGAGCAGAGAGAAAGGAAACGCGAGGATATATATAGAGAGAGTGAGACGCTGACAGAAAAGAGCAGTGGGACACGCAAATCAAAGCCAAATCCCTTCCATAATCTGCCTTATTAATGGGGATTAGAACTCACCAAAGAGCCTATATCAGAATACCAAAGCACCAATAAAGACTCTGCTCACACTGAGAGTTTGAGGAGTTGATATGACTCTAAAACTCCACACAGAGACTCTTGTGTTGTGTTGTGTTTCTTTTTATAAACTGTTGGATTCTACCAGTCGAAAAGTTTCAGGACAATTTGGACCCTAAACTCTGATGGAGTTTGCTTTGGCACAACAAAAAAAAGAGAGAAAAAAAGAAAAACCTAATCATATTTTGGATCTGCACTGCATTTTCCACTCCTTTCATAACGCAACATGTTTTGGACACGCCGTGTAACAGATATAAAAAGGCCATTTGATGTCATTTTCAGCCCCATCATGCTAAGCTCACTGATTTCCAACTCTGACAGAATAACATATTGTTCGAAAGAGTGAAGGGGTGCGAGCGAGAAGAGCGGCTGATATTCTCCTCAGCGGTGCTGATGGCAGTCTGTCAGAGCTGGCAGAGGAAATGAAAATGGCCTCAAGTGTCTGGCTCCCTTCCACGCCGCTCTCACATCAATGACAACCCTCGCTGCATCATCTCTCCCTCCCTTATTTGCCTTCTTTAGACTTAAATTTGCTCTTTTCGTCCCTCGTTTGCTGACACTCTGGGTACGTGGGTGGGAAAGCAGAGGGACAGACGAGTGCCGTGCTGACTTTTGAGAAAGCGTCACAAGTCACGACGCTCCTCTTTTTTTCCCCACACCTCATACGCACGTCAGATTTACGGCGAGGTTCCAACATCGTTATGAAACCACACTCGGCAGCCTGGTAGCTTACCTTAAAAAACAGGTTTAAAAGAATGTCCTGCCTTTGTCCAGGAGTGGCAAAATTTGCCTGCCAGCATCTCTTTGAGGGAAATAAGCACTTTATAATTTTGTCCACAGGAAAGCAAAATCAGAAAAGATGTTTTTTAAGGGAGATTTTGAGTCAGCTAACGGCTAACATATTCCTTTAAGACTGTTTATGGGGAAAATGCAAAAATTTGCTACATGTCAGTTTAAAAAATGAAAGGTTTAGTTTTTTTGTGTTTTTTATATACATATAAATTTGAGTGATTCTTATTGGAGGATTATGTGTGCTGTTTCATGTTGTTCTTTGTGGGGATGATTTGTCGGGAGCCAGCCCGAGAAAGCTTCTCGGCGGAGACAATAGAATAACTGAACTGGACTGGACCATTAATATAATGATAATTGTAAAAAAATTAATTAGAGAAAGGACTAATGTAAAATCTCAGATTTTGATCACTTGTGCCTATATTGTTTTTTAAACGTGGATCAAATTTTTAGGATAATCTAATAAAGTTAGACGAGACAAACTGTGATGTTTGAGCACAATAGATCAAATGTAGGATTTTAGAATTATAATGTGATTATAAAGTATTTTACTTGTTTTTTTTAAGACAGTCTGACTTGGAAAAACATATATATACCATGGCGATGGGCAATTTTGGTCTTTGTTCAGATTGTGGTCCTAAAGATGAAAAAACTATAGTGCTTGTGTTTTTGAACTGGAGTTCATAATAAGTAGTATTTGATGCCTGGCTTAGGGTTACTCCTCACTGCTTTACATCTAAGTCCAGTGGAGAGTCAATTAAAAAAAAGAAAAAAGTGTATCTTCATATATTTTATATCTCAGATAAAACCTTTCCAGTTTATCAAAATAAAATTAAAAAATGACCAAATTAGTTCTTTTCGCCTCCGATTGGATGGCTGTCAGGATGTCAGCTCTTTGCAAACAACAGTTCCAGGAGCTGCTCGGCTTTCAAAACCCGATCCCGCAGCAAAGGTTTGCGTATCGTACCTGAGAGGTGGTGCAGACACCACCGTGGGGGCAGCCGTGCTCTTACTTTCTCTGAGAGTCAGGTGGCAGCATTGAGCCAATCTCCAGATTCACAAATCTGGTGGCTCTGATTTTATTTTCGTCTCCTTCCAGAGCACGATTTACATTCAGATCACCATATAACTGTAGTTTTGCTTGATGCCCAATCTGGACCTCATTTAGATTAATTTCCATTCCACAAAACAGTTTAACAAAGAAATCAAAGTTAATGCACAAGCTGCTGTCCTGTTATCAACTGTTGGTGTTAAGCTACTGGATGGCAGAAAGCAGCTATCTAACATATTGCCACATATAGATTTTTCCACCTTTGAATATATGTAATTTTTTAAAACCAAATTTACTCCAAAATTTGTACTTCTATAGACTTCAGCAGTACTTCACTGCTTAAACTTCATCATACACTTTACAGGCCACATTTTAACAGCACCTTGCTAAGGCCACTTCGCTTCTTCCATCTAACTAGTAAGTGTTAATAATTTTAAATACCAGACTTTCAAAGACTTGCAGCAAAGATTTCAACAAACACGTCAATCTAAATTTTATCTGCACGTAAACCTGGAGCTGTCTGGGCCCCTTGAGAGGCCCCAAACTGTGCCGCTAAACCAAGCATCGGACCACAGCTTTGAAAGCAGTCGCCGTTAGCAGCTCTCAGACCCCCCACCATCTTCTCCCTCTCTCTCTTTTTCTCTCTATGCACCCCCCTGTCTTTGGGCCTGTGAACGTCAAGGATGCCACAAAGTGACACACAAGCCCACCACCGCCGCCCCAACCCCTTCTCTCGCCTCCCCCGTGAGCTGCTGCCCCCATACTGGCTTGCTGGCCTTTCCTCTCCGTCTGATCCATATTTCAGAGGCAGCAGTGGTGGCACAGAGGGGTATAATCCAACATTAAAGCGAGGAGGCCTGGGCTGAAAGCACAAGCGCAGGTTCACAAGGTCCTGGAAATCTTCAATTTTCAATTTCCGCAGCGTTTGCAGTGGCTTCCAAGGCACGGGCATAAGTCTTCGAGCTTTGTTGGCGAGAGTGCAGGTTTCAATAAAACTGACTTTCCTGGTAGTTTAAAAAAATAAAGGAGCTGACACTGCATGGTTCGTGTGAAACAAACTAGACACAGGGACGACGAGGTCAGCTGGAGATTAACTGCAATACTTGTATTATATGTATATTAATATAGATATATAATTACCCTTAAAATACCAAATCCACTTGAGCTCTTGAAGGAGAATTTCTCTGCATACATTAATTGCACTCTCTGTATTGTACTGGTTACTTATTGGAAATTTATGTTATAAAAATCCTAAATTCAGGCACTAAAAAACAAAAAAACAATACTAATAATAATGTGTGCTTAGTTTAGGAAGTTTACAGTGCTTCTTAATCTGCATTCTGCCCTTGTTTCTTTGGCTGGAAATTGGTCCCCTCTTATTAAATACAGGTGGTGGGATTTTCTTCAGTAATAAAGCGCTATAATGACATTTATTTAGTTCCCAAAAAATATATTCTTTAAAGACAAATTCATATCCTGTATTTACAATTTTTTTTCCAAGGTTTCCATTCACAACAGAGGAACAGAGGGGGGGGACATAAGAGGACATAAAAGAGAAATACAAGTGATTCAGAGACTAAAAAAAAAAACAAAAAACAAACAAACAAAAAACGCGAACATCTCTTTCTCATGTGGAAGCTAAACAGTAATACTACAACAGGCCTCCCAGTCCAAAAAATATCCTTCGTTAAACTGTTCTCCATTAAATAAAATTATTCCTTTTTCTTTCTCTTCTCATATTGTTGTTGTCAGAACTCGCTGTGCTGCTGTCCCGTGGTGAGGTCTGAGGAAAGAGAAGAAGAGGAAACTATTGCTCAGAGGTGAATAAAGTCTAGACATTATAATTATATTATCTGAAACAAATGTGGCAATTTTACTCTTAAAAAGAAATCCTTCGTTTAAACTAACGAAGCAACTTTTTTAACACTTCGAGTTTGTTTCCTTCAAACGGTGTTAAGCTGTATTTATGCAAATTAAAAACCCCACTATAGGTAAATTGTTTTATGTCTTTTCACGCTCAGCTTCATTCATGATGTTGCCATCAGGGCTTTCTTTGACATACATTAGCTTCATTCAAGGGGGGGGGGGGGGGGGGGGGGCGTGAATAAATAGCGGCAGATTATTTAAATGACTTGGTGGCGATAGCTCATTGTTGGAGGATGGGGGGCAGGCTGGGAGGGGAGAGAGGGAGGGAGAGGCGCAGAATATATCAGACTCCTGCCTGACGAGGCGTTAAAGTGGGGACTCAATCGTATGATTTATGTGCCGAGTTCTGCCTCCCCGAGCAGTCAGGTGTAACAGTGTTTACCTCTTGCTGTAAGGTTCATTTAATCGAGGCTGATGGTGTTATAATGCCAAAATTGATTTGAAATCACCTGTCAGTGATCATCTGAAAGGGGGACTTCAGGGAATCGGGCCTGTGGTCGCTCTCTTCATCTGCGGAAGGAAAGAAAACAAACTAGTGAGTGACAAGGTGTTCGTGAAATTACCTTTGAAAATAAAGTGAAACTGCCCTGCAGGAAGGAGAGCTGCTGTTGTCGCCATTTGAGTGATTCAACGGAACAAGTCCTATGAATAATAATAATAATAATAATAATAATAATAATAATAATGATAATAATAATAAGAAGAAGAAGAAGAAGAAGAAGAAGAAGAAGAAGAAGAAGAAGAAGAAGAAGAAGTTGAAATCAGGCCCATACCATCTCTTTTTGGACTGAAGCTCCCTGATGACTCTACATCGCTGTCGTCTTCCGTACCCGACGTTCCCGTGCCGACCGTTGCCGGTCGTGCGTCACGACGCGCAGCCGGCACTGCGCCGTGGACGGGCAGGTGTCCGGCCGGCGCCCCTGCCAGGAGCGACCTCATGTTCAAAAGAGAGTTGGCATTCAGAAAAGCTGCATTGGCCCAGTTGTGCAGCTTGCCAATCTGGCACGTATATATTCCGTGACCCGGGAGTAAGGCCGGGTGTCCGGTGGAGGCCAAAGCCGCGTGGTGCGCAAGGGCCGCGGGGGGAGATTTGTGAGAGCTGTCGGGCGCCGTGGCGGTCTCAGCCAGAGACCAGATTTTAGGTTTGCTCTGTGCTGGTCTCTGGCACTCCTGCCTGCCGGGCGAATGATCCGCGGGAAGCTTGACACTGGGCGATTTACCGAGAGAAACACCCGCCTCGGCTCCTCTCAGGGCCTCCGCAGAAAGCGTCCTGCTGCTCTCCGAGCTCTTCGACTCAGAGGCCTGCTCGGCGGCGGACAGGCCCGCCTCGGCCTCCCCCCTCGCGGAGCCACGCTCCCCTTCGCGCTGCTCCTCGGGTCTCTCGATATCGACGGTTTCCAAATCTATCTCCTCCTCTTCATCTTCGTCGTCGCTGCCGTTCTTGCCGTGCTCGTCCTCGTTGTCGCTGCTGAAGATGCGGCCGTCCCGGTCCTCAGCGCTGCGGCCCCAGGTGACCTTGTTCTCCTTCTTCAGGCGTCTGCGGGCGTTCGCGAACCACGTCGACACCTGTAAAAGAAAAGCGCGTTTTTAAGCATTATTACTCAGATGCTGTGGTTTGAAAGCTGTAGATGGGGAATTATAAAACATTTAAAAAGACATCTGATTTTATTTATTATTCCTGAGCTCAGATTTAAAAAAAAAAACTGAACTGAGGTTTTTTTCCCCCTCTGCAGGTGTATTAAAAACAGTCATATGTGGGCCAACTGAGTTCTCATAACAAATAGCAGTGCTATTGAAGGACATTAAAATGAAGAATAAAACCTTTAAAATAATGATTAGGGATTTATTTTAAGTGGGCCTGGAGGCTGATGCCCACCAAATTGTGCTTGTAAGGTGCCAGAAAGACCACTGAACTGAAACATTTTATACAAATTGAGCTCCGAAAACATATCACGCTGCCCACCTGTGTGAGTGTCATTCTCGTAATGATAGCAAGCATGATCTTCTCTCCTTTGGTGGGGTAAGGGTTCTTCTGGTGTTCCTGCAGCCAGGCCTTCAGGGTGCTGGTGGTCTCCCTTGTGGCCGTTTTGGCCCTTGACGGGTCTCCGTACGGGTACTGGCCGTAGGGGTAGAAGCCTTGGGCGGTGTGAACAGGTAGAGAAGCTGGGTGGGACCCCGGGCTGTCCTTCAGCTCATACTGTGAGCCCTGGAATGTTGTTGGGAGAAAAAAAAATGGGGGCAACTTGTTGAGCAACTCCAAAGATATTTGCGCCTCAAGTTCAGAAAATTTGTAAACAGGAAAATACAAATGGAAATTTGGAGCAAAACCGTTTTGCGTGACAAAACAAAACAAAACAAAAAACTTACAAGTTTGAAAAAAAAATCAGTAATCAGACACAGATCACAACAAATATCCCTCATTTTTAGGTCGCTTGCAAATTTCTATGATCTAGGCCTACCATATTATTTTGTTTTGATTTTTATTTAATTCAATATTGATAAATGCCTTTATGCTAAAACGTGCAGCCTGCCACAGTAGACAGGTCCACATTTGTAGAAAAAAAGCAAAAAACAAACAAAAACAACAACATTATGTTCAAGCTTTCAAAAACCATGACCTCAAATTAAATTTGAAACTGAAGTTTAGTGTCACGCTACCAGAGATCGTTCATTTGTGTTATGTGGCTATTCAGTTCTTTGCAATTCACCCAAGTATTTAAAGCTCCAACACACAAACAATTAAATATTAATTATTAATAATTAATTTATCTCAATAAAATTCACAAAAATTCTCTTAAAAAAACAAATAAAAAAAGCGAACAACCCGCCATTTAAATGGTTCAAGTTGTATTTACGCATTACAGTGAAAAGCTCAGCCTCACTATTTTCTTATGAACACCTGAACGTGTATCATCTCTCACCATCTGGGATATGAGGGCGAGGTCTGTGGCTCCGCTGTACGGCAGAAAGGCACTGTAGTTATGAGCCGCCCATGGGCTTCCGTACATCCCCAGCATGGAGCCGACAGCCGCGGCGGTCGCTGATGAGCTCACGCCGCCCTCGGTGGTTCCTTCCCGGGCAGAGCCCGGCCGCTCGCCTCCGTACACCTCATGGGAGGCGCTGAGGAACTGGGGATACCCCAGCTGAGGCAAAGACATGTCCGGGAGTATGCGTGCAGTAAATCTCTCCCAAAGTCACAAGAGCGAAAAAAAGAAAGATGATGCAGGGGAAAAAAAAGAAAAGAAAGAAGGAATCCCCAAAAAAGAACAGAAAAACGAGACAGTTAAAAAACAAAACAAATCAGGATGACCCCCACTTAAAAAAGAAGAAACTGTCAGCCTTCCCTTCCACCGAGTTGTGTCTCAGGAGCAGTTTGGCACTTTCGAGTGCGGAGTTGATGCGTATGTCTGGCCGCAGGAGCTTCTGGATGTGGAGCTGAGTGACTGATTGGCAGCCTACTTAAGCACCAAGCTCCTCCTATGCCCGGGGCAGGCGATTAGTGCATTGGTTAGCCCAGGTCGTCTGCGTGTGTGTGCGTGTGTATTGATGTGTGTGATTTAATTTCGACAGTCTTCACTGTGTCTACCGAAAAGGTAACCTGTGTGTGTGCGCGCATGTGTGCGCAGTGTATGTGTGTCTTGCGCAATGAATTCATTAATTACTACTACTACTACAATAATAATAATAATAATAATAATAATAATAATAATAATAATAATCTCTCCGTATTTTGGTGTCATTTTTCGGTGCTTTGACTGCTGACTCGTGGGGTATGCCCGGACATTCCTGGTCCAGCAGATGGGCCGGGAAGCATTGATATGGTCGGACAGATCCACGAGGAATGTCCGTGATTATCGGCGGAAGTCAGTGGAGCTTATTTTTTCAGAGCTGTGGAGATAAAGGAGAGTGGAGGTAATGACAGAGATCGAAGATGATAGGAGATGGCAGCGATACGGAGCGCACGGGAGCTGTGGAGTGGAAAATGACAGATGTTTGCTGAGAAGAATAGACTACTGTAGGCCCTTGGTATCAGTTGCAGATGTCGCAGAAATGTTAAAGCACCACCACTTTTCATCTCATACCTCAAAT